CCCATTTCTGCTTTATTTTCCTCTCCAGTGTTGAGTAATGCATTGCATGTGGTATGAACATCATGCAGCCCTCAGCATCCGGGAATAGTAGGAATCACAGTCAGGTACAGGCTGTTAAAGAAAACGGCAGAGTACCACTATATTTCAAGGATATTTGCCATTTTATGTGAAAAGGCATTCTAAGGTTGTGTCCTGCATAACTCTTTCACTGCCCCGTGTTGTAGGATCATAGAACACTAGAACTGGAAGGGACCTCGAGAGGTCATCAAGTCCAGTCTCCTGCCCTCATGGCAGGACCAAACACCATCTAGATCATTCCTCTCAGGTGTCTGTCTAACCTGCTCTTAAATATCTCCAGTGATGGATGGTCTCCACAACCACCCTAGGCAAGCAGCCTTCAACTCCCTGAATGGAGGTTCCAAAGAAGATGAAGAGTGACTGTTCTCAGTGGTGGCAGATGGCAGAACAAGGAGCAATGGTCTCAAGTTGCAGTAGGGGAGATCTAGGCTGGATATTAGGAAGAACTATTTCCCTAGGAGAGTGGTGAAGAACTGGGATGTTATATTGATGTATTGGGAGCAATGCCTGGGATGTAACCTCTTGAATCAGAGGCCCTGGTATGAGTCGGGTATAAGTCGGGACCTGCCCATGGAATTTGGAAAGAAGAGGGCTGATATTGCAGAAATACACGTTGCTAAGGAGTGCTAAGTACAAAGTACTCATGGGAACACTTTCTGATATTAAGTGGTACCAGACCATCCCAATATCAATAAATGGTACCGAAACATTCTCCAAGGATAACACAGACACATTGATCTCTCCTAAAAGATAAGGGCAGGATGAAAGTACATAACTTGTTTGAATCAGGGTTACAAAGATGGGTCTCAGAGGGAGTTTCTTGGGCCAGTCTAGGGGGTAGAGGAAAGTCCTACCAGTAACTGAGCTGGTCCAGTGTCACAGGAATCCATGTCTTAGAATCTATGTTGCATGCGCCAGGAGCTATAACCATGACTCTCAACAATTAACTTGGCTTGGCACCTTCAAACCTTGATGGATCATGTGGTCATTGGGCACTTCAGTCAAAGTCATCTGTGAAAGCTCTCTGAACAGAGCTGTGACATCATACACGTACAGACACACAACTAACGAAAACTAGTCTTCCACATATTCATAAACAATCTGGAAAAAGGGTAAATAGTGAGATGGCAAAATTTGCAGATGATACAAAACTACATAAATTGTTATGTCCAGACCTTCTGAAAAGAGTCCCAAAGGGATACCACTAAACTGAGAGACCGGGCAACAGAAGGAGAGATGCAATTCTAAATGGAGGCATGTAAACTTATGTACATTGGAAAACATAATCTCCGTTAACATATAAAATAATAGGGTCTAAATTAGCACTTGTCACTCAAGAAAGAGATCTTGGTGCCCGTCAGTTTTCTCTTCTTCCCAAGGAAGAGGCTTGATATTGCAGAAATACACATTCCTAAGGAGTGCTAAGTAATCATGGGAACACTTTCTGATATTAAGTGGTATTAGACCATCCCAATATTAATAAATGGTTCTGAAACATTCCCCAAGGATAACACAGACACACTGATCTCTCCTAAAAGATAAGGGCAGGATGAGTATGTCTACACTACAGCGCTAATTCGAACTAAGCTAATTCGAACTAACGCATCCAGACTAAAAAACTAGTTCGAATTAGTGTTTTGCTAATTCAAACTAGCATGTCCACATTAAGTGGACCCTGAACCGGGGTTAAGGATGGCCGGAACCAGTGCCGGCAGGGTTCGAACTAACGCATCCAGACTAAAAAACTAGTTCGAATTAGTGTTTTGCTAATTCAAACTAGCATGTCCACATTAAGTGGACCCTGAACCGGGGTTAAGGATGGCCGGAACCAGTGCCGGCAGGGCATC